ACAGCACTGGATGGATGGACAGAGACAGTCAAATTGTAGTCGCCTAAAGGCTGAGCGACAATCATGGATCAATAAGTGAACACAACAATATTCTTGTGAGCTTGCTCATAAGCCGCTGTGTCCCTGGATGCTCTTCAGCCTGACGTCCATCTCCCGCTAACTTTCTTCTGGCACTCTCATCTTTTTGTTCCCTACAGCAATCTTTTCTAAGGCCTTCTTTTATAACATGTTGTTGTGGCATTTCAGTATCTGATAGACGGCGGTAGACTTTTCTACGTAAGGCTTCTACCCCATATGAGACCACACATCTTTTCTTCGCTTTTCCACAGTACTTTCCCCAAGAAAAACATAGAATTCTGAAGCTTAAAATTTGGACTATAACTGAGGTTTCTTTTTTGTTTAAAAACAACTGGGGCCGGTAGGAAGGCTCAAGTAAAATACTACTATTACTCATTCATTCGTTCATTCTGTTATTTATCTTACTTAAACAACAGCGTATTAAAACACTGTCATTAAATCATGTTGTGACCAGTTTAAGCACTCATTTAACAACTAATCGCTCCAAAAGCTGTGGGTTAAGTTTGACATGAAAACCTGCAGTTTATATTCAACTGCGACCTATATGTGGTGAAAAAGTTATTGATATTAAAAATCCACTTGTGCGGTTCACATACAAGTGTGCTTAATAGTCCTGCAAGTAATGCATTTTGAATAAATTTGCAAACATTATCTCAACATTCTCAAGATGTCTACTGATGGGGTGACCGTAGCAGTAGAATGATCACGCTCTCATGGGCTGGGTTACTGGTGTTTTTCTATTGCTCGTGAATGAAAAAGAGCCATCCTTAATGTTTTGGACCCTCTCCAGATGATATTTAACTTGGGCTTGGCTTCACCTGATTTTCACCGTGGAGCCAGCTAAGTGTATTGGCCATAATGTGGAAATAAGGAAAAGAAATGACACTTATATCAGGTAGATTATCATTTAAATAATATAATACCTTCTCTTGATATTTTAGTCTAACTTGAACTTGCATTCCCCAGTAGCAGGTGATTAGGAGGACGCTGGTAAGAATGGGCTAGTCCTGGTGGCCTCAATGGAGCAGTGTAGAGGAGTGTGGCCACTTCCTGGAGCAGAGAGTCTCATTACTGTGAATGGTCCTGGAGATGGTGTAGTACATGTGTGTGTGTTTGAGTGCCACAGTCTATAATTAGGAAGCACAGCCAGCATAGTACTAAGAATCAGACCCAGATAAGTGGTCTGGCAGTGGGCCATAAACATCACTCTTTCCCTTTGTGTAGCAAACTATCTGTCCATCTATCCATCAAGACATTATCCATTGATCCATCTCCATCCATTCTAAGATAGAGATCCAGCTATAGTCCATTGCCATTAGAACGACCCCTCTTCAATGCCACGTGGTCTGACTGGTCAAAGACAGCAAAGCCAGCATGCTGTCAGTCTTGGGTGTCTAAAGTGGATATGTGGGAAATAAACATTAGCATAAAAGGCTTTATTCATGATATTGATATCATAGTAGCTTTAGTTTCTTAAATGAGCTCAGAGGTATGAAATAAAAAATCTGCTCATTTTATAGCTGATTTACTGACTTTGCAAAAGTAAGAATACATCAATATAAGATATCTATCCCATGGACCCAACCTTATACAGACAGCCGAGCCAGTTTACTGTCAGTCTTTGATATAGGGTGTGTTGTGGCATGTATAGGGTAAATCACCATTAGCATATTGTGTATTGCTTCATTTCAGATCTTTTTGCTAATAAAAATTCTATCTTCACAATAAATGAGATGTTGCAGGAGCTTGGTGGCATCCTCAAATCCCAGATCCAGCTTTTCATTAGACTTATGCACTTTTTATAAAGGGGCATGAAATGTTTAGCCTTAATTAAAAAGATCCATCTCTTTCCGCGAGGCAGTTATGTAAGCAGCACCTGCAGATGGCTGAGCGCAGTCCATTGCCATTTCCTGGAGTCACCTTGACTTGTGGCACCTATTTAAAGGATTGCTCTGTGCTCAGAAAGCTAACTATAATGCTTTTCTTTGGAGTAAGACAGTGCCATCAAGCCTGAAGACCTCCTACTCCTGCCACACCGGTTAACCTATAGTTAACCTTTAGGGCAAACACTGTACTGTTCAAATATAGATGAGACAACTCAAAACACTGAGGGGAATAATACAAATGAGTGGTAACGACTTCATATTTCGAAGGCCAGTGTCATAAGCCTTTTATGAAAGCTGTCGTTGGCCTGGTTACCCAGAAGGCAGCATCGTGTTGGGCTCACACAAAGCAGAGATCCTGGGGCTCTAGTCTCCACCTGGGTGAAGAAGGCCTTTATCTCAGTTGGATGACCTAAGGGAGGGACTCAATCATCCGCCTCCACGCCACTGTTATTATACTCCCCCCATCTGCTCCCTTCTGACGCACTGCAACCATTCTCAGAATAAAAAACAAATATGGAAGGAGGCACTTGTTAGGGTTAAAAAGACTGATGTTGCTGAGGATGCTTTAAACATACACTCTGAGGGCAAGACATAAAACACATCAACACATGTGTCAAATCAAATCACAAGAATGGTCAAACTCAGGGAAAGAAGTCCCTGTATCTCTAAATCAACCTCCTCAGCCTCTACAACTCCAATTCATCAGTGCCCAGTGTCCATCAGGGCTCACCATTGACATATCGCAAGCGTCCAAAGTTTAAAAAACAAAGATGAATCAGTTCAATGTGAGGGAGAAAGCAGCAGCACTATAATTTCAAGCTTTTAGAAACACACTTTTCAATTACAATGTTACAATGCCATAAAAACTATGTTTGTCTCAGCCTAATAACATGTCTATAATTTGTTTTAGCCAACACTTGACATGTGGAACACACCTGGGCTCACCTTGGGAGAAACTCTGTCTCATTAAAATGGCTGCCCTCTTGACTGAACCAGAAATGACTAATAATTTAACAATGCCACATTACTGTCAGACCTTGAGATGCTTAATGAGCAAAAAGACAAATCTGAATATTTGTGTGATAAAAATGGCAATTCCAAAACATGCAGATGCAGGTATGAAGGTGCGTAGGTGCCCTTCACAAATGGAGCAAATAAATGAGGCTCTAATGGCTCTTACAGTCTACTTTGTGCACTGACCTTCAAATAAGAGGGTTATTTTCCAGAGTGCATGTGGGCACATGCTCATTACTCAAAAATACAAAAAACTACCGACAAAATAATTTGATGTTAGCCTCCCCTGATACTCCACAGACTTCAGGAAGAGGAGTAGTCGCGGTATTGTTAGAGATTCAAAGGGATCCTAAATACAGTAAGTATTAAGAAGCATTGTTGGATGTATTTAGAATTGAGTGAATACATGGGAAACAGAATATACAGAGTTACAGGTCAGATTTGTGGGGAGACGAGCCCAGTCACAGAAACAATGTTGTTATTTCTTTATGCGAAATGATTAAATGCCATACTATATTGCCGGCAAATGTTTATGATTCAATTGTTAAGCATTATGCACGCCGACTTTCTGATTCCACATTTGAACATTGGGCACCTTACGACTGGTATTTCACATCGACATATTTTTGCGGCTTAATGTTTGGAAAATTTAACAAAGTAATACAACGGTACACACGCAAACAAAACCCAACAGTATTAAATTAGCATTGTAGATGTATCACGGGGTGTCACAGTACATGACATTTCCCTTCTTTATCAGGATGAAACAAGGGCAAGAAGAGGGATTAAACATAAACTACACTGGGGCTAAATCATGTACAAGTTTGCGCACAATAACAGCATACAAAGATCCAAACTATGCATTGAAATCAGATGTTCAGGCTGTGAGTGTGCAGGTAAAGGACAGGCCAATACGTGGAGAGTGCAGTGGACCATGGATAAGGGCTTTAGTTTATAACAGTGTGATGCAGGCAGGACAAGGTTTACACAGCACAACAGAGCATTCACACACTGGGCTTAGGAACAAGACAAAGCAAAGTATCTCCTCACACTGAAAAAACGTTTACTGTAGGTCCTCTTTAAACACTGATCAACATGTTGTAGTTGATTGATAATTGTTTAACTTTATAATTGAGGAAAACATTTAAAAATATACAGTAGTTGGAGGAGATCAAAAATATTAAGCTTGGTGTCACAATTCACCAACCCTAAACAAAAAAACCCATCCAAGGCACATTTAAGACTTCTTTCTCTCTCAAAATCTATTTAAAACTCATACTCCATTGAATTTAGGCATTTTAGTGATTGATTATTGATAACTGCAGTTTGTGATTACAAAAATAAAAAGTATAAAAGCTGTTATCCGGCAGATGCTTGGAAATAAATCAACACATGTACTTTTAGAAAATATGATAATAAATAAAACATCTTCAAAAGGAAAATGTATCAAAGTGATAATTATGTGTGCAGTTTTACAGGGAAATGTCGACATTCTGAGGGAGCTACAGGCAGCATTCCTCTGGACTACATCGAGGGTCAGGGCAGAGCGGGGAGCATGCCTCACTGAGGAGCTCTTCAAACTGACCCTTGATTTGAATATGGCAACTTTATTAATCCATTTATTTCACATAACCATCTGAAGAACATGGATATACGGAATTGATAATAATGTTCAACACCTCCTGAAGTATCTACACTGCAAAAGAGCTACCCCAGTTAAATGGTTTGGCTATTTCTTTATGCGTTTACAATTTCAATATTAATAAGCTTTGCAAAGTTGACATTTGTTTTGATATTGATATTATTGATATTTTGAGTTGTATGAAATAATTCAAATTCATTGTCTTAAAATAGAAGTAAGGCACCCCTCAACTTCCTCAGTAATCCTAGTAACAACTAGTCAATCAGGAAATCATTTTAACTTTTGTAGTGATCCAGTTTTGCAATGGTTTTATGTGAACTAAAAGTGGAGCCATATTGTTAAATCAAGCTGCAGCAGCAAAGGGCTCTACTTTGTACAGACTAACACGTCACGTTCAGGTGAGAGCAGAACAGACACTCACTCAGCTGTCTCCTTGACGACATAATGGCACTCCCATGCGCCTTGACGCCCTGAAAACAGAAGACATTTTGACTGACAGAAAAAGAAGAAAGACAGAAGATTGTAAGAATGCAAGGGAGGAACATGTAATGAGTTCCATGGCCTTGAGAGGCCTTCACACTATTTAGTTTCCCCTGATAAATAAAGATGTACATAAAGATTTTCTCTAACACCATTATGCTACTCGTGACAGAGCCTCACTTAATAGAAAGGAGTAAAAGTCAATTTGGAAATTAAAGCAACACCTCAAATATTGGCAACAAAGCAAAAAAATGGGCCTCATTTATGATCATTGCGGTGAAACGGGTCTACCTCACGCCGGAGGGCAGAGGGTGCATGGTATTCATAAACTTGTGCACACCATGCAATGTGTGCACAGATTCCGCCCTTAACATATCCTGGTGTGATCTACGTAATTAACGCTGTTACGCTTATAAACTCACATACACCCCATATACCCAAAACACGCCCTTGTATTTACAACATGGAAGGTCCTAAGACAAGGTCCTACAACACAGAAGACTAAGAAGCATAACTTTTTTTTTGAGAGCCTAAAAAAATGAAAGGGGCCCACAAACAAAAGATTTGGAAAAAGATCACAAACTTACCTCAACACCTTACCTGCTGAGGTAAGGTGTTTGGATCATATCATTAAGGGCTAATTATGCTTGAAGTTTTCTTAATGCCCCAATGCATTTCAAATTACATACAAAAGAAAAAGTCTGATATAAAGAGGGTCTGCAGAGCCCCATGGCAGCTCGTGTGGCAGCTATTATAGACCCTGCATCCATCGAAGTCATCACTGGGGAGTCTAGGGACACAGACTTGGTACCAGTGTAGTCATGGAAGTAATAAAGTAAATTCAACAAAATATCTTAAAAGTGAAATAAAACTCAAGTGCCCACACAATTTGACATATATGTTTTAAATTAATTGATAAAATATGAAACTCCGGGCTGAGTGCATAAAACCAGCCTTCATGCATCAGGAGGGCCTGTCGAGGGGTCGCAGGTGCACAGCAGACCTGCTCCCTCTCGTTGAGAACCACTCATCTGTCCTCAGGTACTGGCAGAATAAACAGGATACATTTTGTCAATTACTGACTCAAATAAATGGGCAATTACAAGAAATTAGAGTCTATAACAACTAAGCGACAATTTGAAGAAAAAGTATATACAATACAACAGTTATTTGTGGCATTTCTAATTATACTCACAAAAACATATGAACTCCTGTCTCAGCTGAATAACCTCTAATGCTGGTTGAGCTAGTCAGGTTCTCTAGAAATGGGTTGTTCTTGTTATATACTGTATACATTTTAGTCTTCAGTGATGTTATGCAGGACTGTGCATGCCACTATCAGGTCACACACTTTTTGTGGCATGTATAACAACATGCTCTAGACACAGCCATATCCCCTTCAGCATCGCCACACATCTCTACACAGTGGCACGCGTTTATATGTGCACACCTGCCTTACTCTGAGGGTTGCAAAGTGGAGTAACAAGGTAAGCAGAGAGGCGTTGACCTTTGACTCCTAAGAAAAAAATATAGATTAAATCACAGAAATCTGTGCTTAATGACTTACCTTTACACAAATACTTTTACTCACCAATGAGGTAGCTTTGCTCCCAAAGCTCCCTCCTACAACCTTCTGCTCATGCTGCTGTTTTGAAATAAGAACGCCCTCCTTGGGATTCTAGTGTTGAAATTGATAAATCACAAATTGAGCTTTAGTTTCTCCAGCACACATATTTTGTTGTCCAGAGTAGGGTTGTAAAAAACTATGAATTTTCATGACCAACCACCGAGCCTCATTAACCGGTTGAAACCGGTTAACCGCGTAGTTTATAATAGTCCATGTTCTTTGAAATAACAGCCATTTCGAGCCGCGTACTTTTCATAAGTGCAGCTCTGCGTTCCACTGGATCAGAGCCGGGACAGCGGCGCCAAAACCGGCAACAGCTTCGGCACCTTTACGCACAGAGAACTGCTGTTTTAATCTTCCCATTCTGCTGTGCTGCGGGTTAAAGCATTTTTAAGCAAAAGACATGCTCACATGGTCAGAGCAGCGAGTGACGAGCAGCATCTCATGGGTCTAAGCTAAAGTTTAAATACAAGTGATGTGAGTGGAGCTGATCTAATGACAAGGACCATCAGCACAAACATGGTCCATGTGGTTTGACTAGAGCTGCGTATTTGCGAGAATCCTTTGGGCTCCGTAACACAGAGGAGCGCAACAGACCGGTATGTGTGTGTGTGTATGGAGGGGGTAAAGAGTGTGTGTGTGTGTGTGTGTGTGTGTGTGTGTGTGTTTGTGTCTGTGCGCGCGTGTGTGCGTGCATATGTGGCGCGTGCGGCATGAGGGTCGGCCCGGAGTTTACTGATACATTGGCGCACACAGCTAGAGACGGACCCGCTCGTCACATCGTGCGAATAGGGCTTAAAATAACGTTATTAAGAGACCCTCCCTCTCCCCTTTTTCTCTTTTTTAACCGACAGCTTTGACCGGTTAACGCTGTGACGGTCAACCACCGGTTAAACGGTCACCGATTTACATCCCTTGTCCAGAGCTTTCATGAATGAGGCCAAATGAGCCTTACTTCAGCCAAAATATTAACTTGAATAATGCTTAATTGCATTGTACTTGTATCTGAATAATTATTAAAAAGAATAATTACAACCAAGCCTGGTGGAGATTTGCCCTACGCTTGCCGCCATCAAGATTACTTTCCACTGGCACGAGAAACTGATCTCTGCATGGAGACATTTTGCATGGGGTTTGGCTTTAAAAGTCTGTCCTATAGAATCATGCAGGTGGAAAATAGGGGCTCCAGAAAGAGGATTTAGCATAGGGCGGACTGAACATAAAAGGTAGAAGTGGCTCTCAAACTGAGTTGCGAGAAACAAAGTGTTACCGGTACACCACGCAGCAGTACTTAAGTATTTCCCCTGTGTTCATAAATCACCTGCAGACACCCCCTGCCCTCCTAATGTGTAATTATCAGAGTCAGACTGTCATTTTTCACTGCCTGAAGAACAAAAGTAAACGAGTACAACAGTGTAAGTGAAGCGCAGAGGCACAGGGGTGTACGCTCATTCATTTTGTCACGGCACACTTCATCATGCATGCTGCTCCTATTTTTATGCAACTCCATCACATGTAATTCATTCACATTAATGAATTCCTTCACTTCCAGCTCCTGCTCTAATAGCAACTCATGAAATTTAATAGAGGCCTAAGACGTGATATTCTATTACATATTCTGTGTTTTTGGATCCTTTTTGGGAGTCATGACAACATGAGTATACGATTGTGTACAATTCAAATATATTGACACAGATGTTTTTTTTTTTTTTTTTTGAGCAGACAAGTTCTGCTCATAAGGAGTGGTCCGAATGCAAGAGCTTATTGGTGCCCACCCCCAAAAACATCAATGTCCTCCTATCCCTGCCACAGTTGCTAATTCATTTTTTAAAAGTAAAATCATTCACTTTTAATTTATTTTGTATCCTTTAATTCCTTTATACTTGCTTGAGTTGGAATATGGAACACCATACTTATGAGATTAACTTGTAACTTAACCAAAACAAGAGCAGAATGTGAAGGGTTTAACACAATTATCTTGCACTGCTCTGATAAAAGGGTTAGTTTGGTCTTCACTTTTAATTTGTCTTTTAGATTAATTGTCAGCTTCTCTTTGAAAATCATGGAAAAGAATTGATTAATATTCTGGGCTGTTGGGGGGGAAAGGGACCAGGAGATTGGAGGACGTAGCAGGTAACAGTGTATAAATAAAGTATAAAAGAAGCCTATACTGACACTGTTAATACAAATAGGCAAGAGCGCATGAAGGCATGCAACGGTAGAAAAATTGAGTACAATGTTAACAAACTGACCACCTTTTTTGTGTGTGAGAAGCCATCGGCGGCTTAGGTCACAATATTGCCTCATTTGTCTCATTCAAACAGTGCATGTGAAGGGTTTGAACTGCCATAATGGTAAACACAATTTGAACTAGAGGCTACGCAAAGGCAGAATTGACAGCAAAATGTTGCCACCTCCATGTGCCCAGCCTTTTGTGGTCACTAGTGTTTACATTTATAAGTGAAAGTGAATGGCTTTTGCTGAAACTACTAGTTGCTGTGATGCTTATTCTTCCACTTTCCATTTTATTAACAGATTTTTTTTATACCTATTTGTTGTGTTTTTCTTTTCCTTTTTTCAAATGTAAGTGAAAGTGACATAATCTATTATACTAAATAAGAGACGTTGTACATTTTAGCTTGAAAAAAAAACTGGAAGAATGGCAAAACCCTAAGCAAAATACACAGTCACTCAATTATCATGGCGACTATTGGCAAATGGCAAACTGCAAGTACACAAAGTATATTCCAAGCAGAAAGGTCTCGAGAAGGGTCTCTCAGGGACGCTATAGTTTAGACATTTATTAAACTACACACATCGTGATTGACGATTTCCATTGAAAGTGCTAACCTAATCAAACTGACAATAAAGGCCTTTGAAGAGAGCAGAGAGAAAACAGAAGTTCATTTTTGTGGCAAGAGGCGGCAGTTAAAACTGAAGGTGACAATACTTGCCGGCCTCTTCAGACAATTCAGACAGTTTGGGAGCAGAACAAGTTTTATCAGGTCAGGAAAAAGCATGACCACCATTGACAGATTCATAGGGAGTTGGTAAAAAGGAAGGCTTACATTATATAAAGTAACTTGGAAATGGAATAATGCATCTTTGGACATAATCGCAGTACAATAACAATATTCATGTTCATTAATCATAACAATAATATGATAATGGTGAAAGTTTTCTAATTAGTTCTGGACCAAGGGAAGTAAAGTTTCATGAGGGATTACAAAAGTTACTACAGAATCACAACATACTGTACAAGAACATATAAGTGCCAAGTGTCTGGTATCACCAAAGAGAACCCAGTGAGCTCTACGAGTGACTGTGGGTCCAGAAAGAGACTTAATTGACATGTGGTCATAT